ACTTATTCAATCTGTATGCTGAGCAGATTATCTGAGGAGATGAACTATATGAAGAAGGTAGCATCAGGATTAGAGGAAGACTCATTAACAACCTGCACTACGAAGATGATACAACCTTGCTTGCTAAAAGCGAAGAAGACTTGAAGTACTTACTGATGAAGATCAAAGACTACAACCTTCAGTGTGGATTACACCTCAACATAAAGAAAACCAAAATCCTCACAACTGGACCAACATCATGATAAATGGAGAAAATACTGACATTGTCAAGGATTTCATTTTATTTGGATCCACAATCTACACCCACGGAAGCAGCAGTCAAGAAATCAAAGGGCGAATTGCATTGGACAAATCTGCTGCAAAAGACCTCTTTAAAGTGTTAAAAAGCAATGATGTCACTTTGAGGGCTAAGGTGTGCCTGACCCAAGCCATGGTATTTTCAATCACCTCATATGCATGGGAAAGCTGGACAATGAATAGGGAAGACCGAAGAAGAATTGACGCCTTTGAATTATGGTGTTGGCAAAGAATATTGAATATACCATGGACTTCCAGAAGAACAAATAAATCTGTCTTGGAGGAAGTACAGCCAGAATGCTCCTTAGAAGCAAAGATGGCAAGACTTTGTCTTGCTTGCTTTGGACATGTTATCAGAAGGGACCAATTCCTGGAGAAGGTCATCATTCTTGGTAAAGAAATGTCAGCAAAAAAGAGAAAGACTCTCAATGAAATGGATTGATACAGTGGCTGCGACAATGGGCTCAAACATAGCAATGGCTGTGAGGATAGTGCAGGACCGGACAAAGTTTCATTCTGATATACAAAAGGTTGCTATGAATCGGAACTGACTTGACGGCACTGAACAACAACAACAAAGAAGATATTGGAAGAGGTTCTAATTATCCGATCTGGGAATGGAGTCTGAAGAGCAGAGGAGCATTTGATCAAACTTTGGTAAGAGAAGAGAGGAAGTCCTCAGTGATGTCATTAATTCACAGTTCCCGCTACTGACCACTAGGTGTTGCTAAGCAGGCGTGATGACCTATGGCAGAAGAGGAAAGAGGAGAGGCAACTCCTAAGGGATTCATCGTTTGTAATGCTCAGCTGATTCTCAAATTTGGGGACTTCCTTGGTAGCAAGACTTTTTTACCTCTGCACCTAGTCCAGGGACTGGTATATAGTAAGCACTCAATATGTATTTCTTGAAATGAATCATTCAGAAGGCAGGGAGTACTTTTACACTGCGCTGTTAGTTGCCATAGAGTCGGGTCTGACTCATGGCGTCCTGTAAAACTGAAAAACCAAACCTCTTGCATCAATTTAGACTCATAGCGACCCTATAGGACAGAGTAGAACTGCACCATAGGATTTCCAAGTAGAGGCTGGTGGATTCAAACTGCCAACCTTTTGATTAGCAGCTGAGCTCTTAACCACTGTGCCACCAGGGCTCCGTGGCGTCCTATAGGCATCAAAAAAACATGACATCTCTGAGTAAGAATTCTTTAAGCCTTCCAGTCTTACTAGGATGAAGGGGGAAAAAAATTCCAAATTAAAGTGACTTGGTCAATTTAACTAAAGGAGATAAATTTAGCCAGGAAATCAGAATTGGGAAACTTCTACTGGTAACTGTATGAACTGTTTCCATTGCTCATACAAATACAGATGTAACAAAATACTTGTTTGAAAGTAGACACGGAAAATTATCCCTTCATTTGTTTTCATTTTGCTCAAGTGCCATCACATGTGGATTGCCTCCCCTGATCCCACAATATTTTCTAATAATTTGCAACCAACTTTGGTGCAATGAGAAATTGATGTCCAGCAATCTGTAATTTTATATAATCTATATTACTGAAGAAGAACTGATACCTTTGAATTATGGTGTTGGTGAAGAATATTGAATATACTATAGACTGCCAAAAGAATGAACAAATCTGTCTTGGAAGAAGTACAACCCAAAATGCTCCTTAGAAGCAAGGGTAGTGAGACTACGTCTCACATACTTTGGATATGTTAAAAGGAGGATTCAGTCCCTGGAAAAGGACATCATGCTTGGTAAAGTAGAGGGTCAGCGAAAAAGAAGAAGACCCTCAAGGAGGTGGATTGACACAGTGGCTGCAACAGTGGGCTCAAGCATAACAAGGAGTGTGAGGTTGGCACAGGACCGGGCAGTGTTTCGTTCTGTTATACATAGAGTCGCTATGAATCAGAACTGACTCTACAGCACCTAATAACAAGTAGCACAGAAGCCTTGGTACCCAGTGGTTAAAGCGATCGACTGCTAACTGAAAGGTCAGTGGTATCAAACCACCAGTGGCTCTGAGGGAGAAATATGTGGCAGTCCGCTTCCACAGAAACTTGCAGCCTTGGAAACCTATGGGGTCACTATGAGTCAGAATTGACTTGATGGCATTGTGTTTTTTTTAGTACATTAGCACAAGGTCCCTGGGTATTGCAGACAGTTTGTGCTTGGCTGCTAACCGAAAGTTTGTCGATTTGAACCCATCCAGCAGCACTGTGGAAGAAAGGCCTGACAATCTGCTTCGGTAAAGATTACAGCCAAGAAAACTCTACGGAGAAGTTTTCCTCTGTAACACATGGGGTCACCATGAGTTGGAATCCGCTTGATGGCGATGGGTTTGATTTGGTTTATATTAGCACAAAATAAAAAGTGAAAACTAGAGGGCAGTGACTACTGAGCACATACATAGCTGGAAGGAAGGAGGAGAGTGAATCAGGAGGCTCTCAGAAAACCCCAAAAACGGAGCCCCGTAACCTTCCTGGCCTGTCAGATAACTTAAGTGGACGTCTCTTGTTTTGCCTACTGAAGGACCTACCCTCTCCTACTGTTAACAGCACCTGGATTTTAGTTGGGGAATATCCCTCCCCTACTGAGCGCTGACCTGATGGGGTTGTCAGTTCAGGTGCTCCCACTTCACATGCTTGAGATGCACACAATGAGCCAAGCTAGGTCAATCAGACCTCCATCCCTGGAGACTGCCGCAAAGCCTGAGAACCATTGAAATTCTTTCATCTTGGTGTCTTAAAGAGACTGTCCACTAATTCCTGCTACTTGTAACTCCACATCTGCCCTGATTTCTGTCCAGGTTCCAGAGACCTGAATCTTCATTTTTTCTTCAAGTTTGTGAGACACCCCACACTCTTCCAGTAAATTCCTATTTGCCTATATTAGCCAGAGTTGGCTTCTGTTGCTTGCAGACAAAGAACACTGACTGGCATAATTAGGAAAAGAGACAAGTCAAAACTCTAGTCCTATGATTACTTCTGTAATCTCTGCTGAATTTAACATCATTGAAAAGGATCAGCCCTAGGATAATGGAGACTTGCCCTGAAGATGAGGAAAAACTAACATTTATGGACAGTTAACTGTATTTCAGACACGCTTCTAAAGACTTACATGTATTATTTGATCTTCGGTATTACTATCCCTGTTTTACAAATGAGAAAATCGAGGTAAAGAATGATTAAATATTGATAAGTAGCATCTGGGGTCTTAAAAGCTTGTGAGTGGCCATCTAAGGTACCCCACTGGTCCCACCCCATCTGGAGCAAGGGAGAATGAAGAAAACCAAAGACAGAGGGAAAGATCGGTCCAAATGACTGATGGTCCACACCTACCACATCCCCCACCAGACTGAGTCTAGCACAAGTAGATGGTGCCTGGCTACCATCACCAACTGCTGACAGGGATCACAATAGAGGGTCCCAGACAGAGCTGGAGAAAAACGTAGAACAAAATTTTAACCCACAAAAAAAAGACCAGATTAATGGTCTGACAGAGACTGGAGAAACCCTGAGAGTATGGCCCCCAGACACCCTTTTAACTCGGTACTGAAGATACTCCTGAGATTCACCCTTCAGCCAAAGATTAGACAGGCCTATAAAACAAAACAAGACTAAATGGGCACACCAGCTCAGGGGCAGGACCAGAGGCAGGAGGGACAGGAAAGCTGGTAACAGGGAACCCAAGGTTGAGAGGGGGAGAGGGTTGATATGTCAAGGTGTTGACAACCAATGGCACAAAACAATACATATATTAATTGTTCAATGAGAAACTAATTTGCTCTGTAAACCTTCATCTAAAATACAATAAAAAAAGAAAAAAAAAGCAACTATATTGCAAAAAAAAAAAGAAAGAATGATTAAATAACCTGTTGGTTTTTACAGAGCCAGATTAACATATCTTAAAGTTGGTTCTGGAGAATGTTCGTTTTTCAGAATGATGATAGGAATTGTTTTGACAAGGATTCTGTGTTCAAATAAATTTGGGAAGCACAGGATTAAAATCACAACAGAATTCTCTGCAGTAGTACTTCTGGAAAGATGGGTCTTTAATTTGTTAATGTGCAAGGGGAATCCCCAAGATAGGACTATAATGTACAGTTTCTTAAACATGTTTGAATAAGGCCTTCTTTTTATAGGTACTGTGTGGGATTAGCGTTCTCTGAGACATAGGGCTCTCACACTGAAGGGGAGGCAGCAGCACCCTGGTGAGGTCACTCCCTGCTCTTCTGGTTCCTGCTGTGTGCCTTGAGAGGAGACTTTTTTTTTCCTCTGAGGCTGAGTTTTCTTAAGATAGGGATGATAATATAGTTTCCCCTATGGGTTTCTTGTGAGGACTAAATTTAACGAGATAGCCTGAAGAACACCCAGTATAGTAACTGGCATAGAAAACGCATTCATTTCGTAGTAGTTACCTTTGTTATGCTAACCAGAAGGTTCTGAATTTGACATTTTTATTGAACATTTCCAGGAGCCGAAGAATAATTCCTACGTAGGACAATTTCTATCAATAAGGCCTTGTTGCTCATCTTCCTTTCACTTTTTTTCCTCTAAACGATTGTCTTTATGGTAATCAGGTCATCTTTAACCTGAGTTAATCTTTACCGTACTTTTTAATACGGTCTCCAACATTAGCAAAGAACGGGCTATTTAGCTGCTCTGCAGTTCCTTATTCTAATCTTCCACCCTATTGAGGGGAAGAGGATGTGATCATGTGATCGTTATTAGCACAGGGGAAATTGTGAAAGGGGCCTTGCTCTAGAAAAGGCAACACACAATCGCCTCGCCTCCCAGAGGACCTCGAGCTCTGAGAGGACATCTGAGAGTGTTTCCGTCTGTCTGTCCATCCGACATGGAACCAAAGCGGATCAGGGAGGGCTACCTTGTGAAGAGGGTAAGTCAAAGTATCCACTGAAAAGGATATTACAGAAGGCTGGGTAGGGGAGGATTAGTGTCCAGCGTTGCACTCCCTACTCATTTTGGGAATGTTTAATGCTGAACCTGTTGGGTTGAAATACAAGAGCATCACAGCAGGCAGGATGTTCGTGGGGCGGGAGGAGATAGTACATGTTCTACTGCATTCTGTTTCTTAGAGAAGAACAGATCCAACTCAGACCTCAGCACAGAGCTTCATCTGTGGGACTGAGAATCCCAGACTATAAGGCCTGGAAGATGGGGGCCTCAGGGAACTGCCATTCTTTTCTAGAGCCACACGGAGTTCTCTCAGGAGACTCCTCTGCTATCAAGGTTACTTGGAGAGCCTATTCATTTTCTGTTTAAATTCCTCCCTTCCTTTTTTTTTTGGTGAGGGTGGGGGGAGAGGAATAGGGAAAGAAGAAAGACTAAAGATGAGTTGACATGATGATACAATAATTATAGTTTATTTCTTGGGCAATCTTAAAATCGATGCATAAAAAATTTTATCTTTTTTTATTGAGCTGAAATCTCTTCACTCACAACTCTTGGTGAGTTTGTATAACATGCCATTAAGGTGGAAGATGCCCCTTTTTAGAGATTAGGAAATAGAGAGATAAGTTTATTCAAGAAAGCTTAGTCTCACGATAAGGCGCCCCGGAAAGCTGAATTTTGTTAGCACTCTTGGTCTTTAGTTGGATGCTGGGTGTATGTCCAAGTCATTGTGAAACTCTCCACGGTAGAAAGTTCACACGCAGGATCTGCTTGGCATCCTGTGGGCAGCACCTTTGTGACAAGTACAGTCACACTGACTTCAGCACGCTTGGGGGTCAGAGAACTGCATTCAGCACTTTCCTCCAGACGCCCAGTGTTGTAATCAAACCAGCACCTGAGGCAGCTGCGTTTCACATTGTAGTCTGAAATGTTCTACTTCTCAAGGGTTAGATAGCACACATTGTTGCCTGATTCTGTTTTGATTTCATGCTGGAAGGGGCCGTTGGCTAATCTGGCCTAATCCCCTCATTTTTACACAATAGTGCGCTGAGTCCCAAGGCTCAGTGATTACTCAAGATCAGAGTTGGGTCTAGGTGGTTCTGAGCTTGGTCTGGTACCCTAAGATCTTTTCAAAATCAAATTTAATCTGAGTTACCAAAGTTAAAAAACTCGTTCCCATCAATTTCAACTCATAGTGACTCTGGAGGACAGAGTAGGACTGCCCCATGGGGTTTCGAAGTCTGTAATCTTCACAGAAGCAGACTGCCACATCTCTCTCCTACAGAGCAGCTGTTCGGTTCCAACCACCAACCTTCTGGTCAGTAGCCAAGGGCATAAGCACTGCACCACCAGGGCTCCTTAATCTAGGGTTTATAATATGTTTGGTGTGAGAGTTACGAGTAGATGCTGGAGAATAAATGAGCCCTCAGTCGATATTCTCTCTAGTTGGCCGTATTTGGAAACATCCTTTGGGAAAAAACACACCATAGAGGTGTATGTGGATATCTTACAACAGGCACCAATACTCTAAGAACAAATACTGGTAATTAATGTTGACTTATTTCTTTCCTTATCACTTGGGCTAGTATCCTGAGAAAGGAAGGTGGGTGGAGATTTTTTCTGCAAGGTGTGTTTTCTTTTTATAATTAAAAATATCTTGCAACAAAACATTGCTTTTATTCAGTTTGTATGCTCATTGTTTGTTGATGCTGTTGTCAGCTGCCATTGAGTTGGCCTCCAATTTAGCTGCCATTGAGTTGGCCCCTGATTCATGCACAGCAAGGCCAGATCACTGTGATCCATAGGGGTTTCATTGGCTGATTTTTGGAAGTAGATTGCCAGATATTTCTTCCTAGTCTGTCTTAGTCTAGAAGCTCCACTGAAACCTGTTCAGTGTCATAGCAACACGCAAGACTGCGTTGACAGACAAGCGGTGGCTGAGCTTGAGGTGCACTGGCCAGGAATTGAATCCAGGTCTCCTGCATGGAAGGCAAGATTTTTACCAGCGAACCACCACTGCCCTCTATACTCATATTTTAAAATCCCCAAATTACAAAAAGGAGACCTGGTTGCACAGTGGTTAATTACTCGGCTGTTTGAGCTCACCAGCTGCTTTGAGGGAGAAAGATGAGGCAGTCTGCTTCCATAGAGATTATAGCCTTGGAAACCCTATGCGGCCATTCTACTCTGTCCTCTAGGGTCACTATGAGTTGGAATCAACTCGATGGCAATGGGTTAAATTACAAAATACAGAAGAACGAATTTCTAATAAGTGAGCCTGCTTCACTAGAAAATGGGTATAACAGAGTCAGAGTTGAGTAGCAAATGGGCTTAAATTAATAAATTGTTTTTAATCAGTGAGCATAATATTAATCATATTATGGCCTGTAAATACCGATGTAGAAAATGTTCCTAGAAAAAAAAAAAAAGTAAAATTTCATAGTGACATTTCCACAATTTACATCTTCCATATTTTTCATGTCTACACTTTATATTTTCCATAATTTTTTCATCTACCTCTGGAACCTCTGAACATTCTTTGTTGCAATGTATTATGATTCTCTAATGAGCCGTTCTAAAGAAACATTTGGTTTAGAAATATTCCCTTCATCTGCTACAGAGCTGAAATTGAAGACAGAATTTCCCCTATAAGGTACTAAAGTTCTTCTTTAGATGTTAATTTCTTCAAGTTTCCTCATATCTGTGGATTAAAAAGTATATACATCAGGAACCTAGCACATAGTAAGTGCTACATGAATGCTAGTGATGATAGTAATGGTATCAATATACAGTTCAATAAATAGGGGATCCTATCCTAGGCGCTAATGGTGCTATGTACAGTTCTGGGGTTGGTTACAAGATAATAGTGAAGAAAGACCCATGATAATCTTTCTCCGACAAGGCTGTTGGATGCCTTGATTAGGGTTGTGGATGTTAAAGCACGAGAAGCAATACTACACGAATCTCTCCCCGTTCACTATTCTCTTTCAAGAGGCTATCTGTTTAAGATACCTGGGTGGGCATAAAGAATATGTTTCTTCTTATGTCTTGCTTTATGAACTGATTTCATTGGAGCTAAGATGTTTTGGGTGGAAAGAATGTAATATTAGAAAACGCTCTTGCAGGGATTTTGTCAAGTTGAAAATCCGGGTCGACAGGTCAACGGCAATGACTATAGGCTATCTCTGCTTTTCTGTTGAGCAGGGTAACTTTCCACGTTTCGCAGCTCAGGTCTCCTCCTTTGCCTCCTGACCAAGGTCTTCAAACAGAGAGGAGAGCTAAGAGGAGGAGGGCAACACGTGACTATCATTTTGCAACTGTTTCTAAATGACATCCAGATTTCCTTGCCTCATAGCCTCCTCACTTTTAACTTAAAAAAAGAGCATCGACAACTTGAAAAATTAGATAGGAACCTTAGGGGGCAGTGAGTTTATGTTCATGGGGGAGGAATAACTCAGAAAGGGAGAGTGAGGATGGTTGCACAACTCGAAGAAGGTGATTGACGTCACTGAATTACACATGTAGAAACGGTGGAATTGGTGCATGTTGTACTGCGTATATTCTCAACAACAACTAAATAAAAACAAATTAGGGGGAAAAAAGGGCATTGAGAGCCTCCCCTGTAGCAGTAGCTGCTGCACAGACACGATCTCCTTCCCTGCTGACGGCGCTGTGAGACAGTATCCTTATCCTCATCTTACAGATGAGAGGTCTGAGGCTCAGGGGCGAGAAGACATGACCGTTGGTCAAACATCCGATAAGAGGATGACCTGGAATTCAAACCCAGGCTGGCCTGATGGTAAAACCCACGCTGTCTCGTTGGTCCCATGCTGCATTCCGAAAGGCAGGCTGAAACAAGCCAGCAACAGGGAGGTCGGATGAACTCAGCAGAGCCAGAGTGGGGTCTGGGCAAATTGTATGATGGGCGAAAGTAGGTTTAGTAATCCTACCTCCCTTTATCGCTGATATCTCTGATATGGGGTTATTTTCTCCCCCAATAATTGTATTTTGGAGTCCTTGAAAACTACTGAATTGGGTATGTTTATAATTATGACTTAAAAAAGAGAGAGGAGAGGAGCAGATTACATGCAAAAAATAACCTGTGGTTGTCAGGTGCTGTCAAGTCGCTTTCGACTCATAGCGACGCCATGTGATGGAGTAGAACTGCACCAAGTCCTGTCCCAAACCAACCTTATACCTAGAGGTTTCTGGAACAAACTGTTGTTTCCATGACGACCAACCCAGCATGCAATTTGCTGAGCAGGACTGATGACCCAAATTGTGGGTCAGGGATTTGTGTGGCCTGTAAGGCAGGTAGAAAGCACAGGGATCAGGGTGGTGGGAAAAGAAGGACAAGGAGCCTGGGCGGGAAAGAAAAGGGTTGCAGAAGACTGGCATGGGGTAGAGGGGAAAAACCTGGAGAAAAAGAAAGCAGGAGAGCCAGTGTCCCCAGCCCAAGAATTCTCTCATGAAGCTACCACACTGAGTGTCCAGGATCTGTCTCTGTGTGGTTCTCGTTAGGAAGTCACCATGAAATAATCCCCAGCCGTTTGCACCTGTTGATTCATCAGCATCGTAATGGCTAACATATGTGGTGCTTACCCTGTGGCAGGGGTAGTTCTAAGCATTTAAGGCATTCATGCATTTAATACTCACAGCAACCCTACAAAGTGGACACAATTATTATCCACACGTTATAGAAGAGGAAATGGTGGAACAGAGAGGCAAAGAGTCTTGCCTATGGTCACATAGCTAGCAAGTGACAGAGCTAGGCTGGAAGCCAGGAATGACCCCAGTGTCACTCAGAGCTATGCCTAACCACTTCACCTGGGCCCTCAAGGGCTCGTATTGTAGTGATTTTCTTTTCCAAAGCACTGTTGCTGTAATGGGTCATACCCAGGAGAATCTTAGGCAAGAATGACTCTACAGTACCTGTGTAATCTTATCTGTTTAAATTGTCACCATTTTTTGAGCACTTACTACAAG